CCCCCTACCCCCCCTCCCTATCTCTGTCACCCCCTCCAGCCCCCTACACACCCTCCCTATCTCTGTCACCTCCTCCAGCCCCCTATATCCCCTCCCTATCTCTGTCACCTCTTGCAGGCCCCTGCACCCCGCCACCCCCCCCATTACTGACATCCCCCACCAAAGTCCCAGCATGCCTCTAATTCTGACCACCTCACTTGGCTGGTTGTGGTCCTCCTTCCTACATGAGCCCCAGTAAGTAACATTCCCTCCGTACACCCCTCCACCTCGATCTCCTCGTTATCCTCCCCTAACATCTCCCCATACGGCTCAGGGTCAGATTCGGTCAGTCAGCCATCTTGGGGACGTTCGAGTCGCTATTGAAATGCAAGTTGCTGGCGGCACATGGTGAGATGTTTTCAAATGTATTGAAACCTGCATCAGGTGGCAAGGTTCCTCTGGGGGGGTGGGTGGGAGGGTGATAAAATATGGGAATAAGTGAGAGAAAGCAACAATGTGATCGTGAGATAGCGAGAACTGCAGATGCTGGGGATAACACACAGTATGGGGCTGGAGGAACACAGCAGGGTCAGGCAGCATCAGAGGTGCAGGGAAGCTGATGTTTCGGGTCAGGACCCTTCTACAGAAAATCTGAGCATGATTTAGTGGCTCATACACAAGCGAACTGTTAGTCACTAAAACCCAATTTATCCTTGTATAAGCACACTTGTTCAAATTGGACAACTTGGAGTCTCACTGAAGACTGAAAGACTAATAAGACGTGAAGAGAAAGTGGTTTGGGCTAGAGATTAAAAACAATATTACATCTTACTTCACCCACTTGTACATATGGAAGGCAGTATCTGTAAGGGCAACGGAGTGTAATTTTTACTCAAGAATCCGTACCTAGGCACCGTTGTACCTAAGATGGAGCTACAAGCGAATTTTTTGACTGTATTCATGAGTACATGTGACAACAAAGCTAATTCCTTTATTCATTTGTGGGTTGTGGGCAACTCTGATTCGTCCATCCCTAGTTGCCCCCCTTGAGAAGGTGGGGGTGAGCTGCCTTCTTGAACTGCTGCAGTCCTCCTGCTGTGGGTTGACCCACAATGTCCCTTAGGGAGGGAATTCCAGAATTTTGACCCAGTGAAGGAACGGCTGATATATTTCCAAGTCAGGATCGGGGGGGGGGAGCTTGGAGGGGAATGTGCAGGGGGGTGGTGTTCCCATGTATCTGCTGCCCCTTGTCCTTCTGGATGGAAGTGGTCGTGGGTTTGGAAGGTGCTGTCTGAGGATCTTTGGTGAGTTTCTGCAGTGCATCTTGTAGATGGTACACACTGCTGCTACTGAGCGTCGGTGGTGGGGGGAGTGGGATGTTTGTGGATGTGATGCCAGTCGAGCGGGGGCTGCTTTATCCTGGATAGTGTCGAGCTTCTTGAGTGTTGTTGGAGCTGCCCCCATCCAGGGCAAGTGGGGAATATTCCTTCACACTCCTGACTTGTCGATGGTGGGACAGCATTTGGGGGAGTCAGGAGGGGAGTTACTCGCTGCAGTATTCCCAGACTCTGACCTGCTCTTGTGGCCAGTGTTTAAATTCAGTTCAGTTCAATAATGGGAGAGAAGGGAGCAGGACTTGGCAGCTTGAGGTAAAGTCTCTGCCTGCTAATCTACAGTCGCAGGCTAATGGCCGAATCCCACCGTGGTGACATTTGAATTCGGCGAAAAATCTGGAATTTAATGATGACCATGTAACCACTGTCCATTGTCATTAAAAACCCATCTGGTTCACTAATGCCCTTTTGGGAAGGAAACTGCCATCCTTACCTGGTCTGGCCTACATGTGACTCCAGACCCACAGTCAATGTGGCTGACACTTGGGCAATAGATACTGGCCTGTCCAATTTTGCCCGTACCCTGTGAGCGAATTTTTAAAAAGTCTTATTACACTGTACAGGGTGTTAGTGAGACTAGACCTGGAGTGCGTTCCACAGGTTTTTAGTTAGAGATGGATTTGCATTGGCAACAGTTTGGAGAAAGTTGACTGAGCTAAGACTACGAGAAATAGGCCATTCGGCCCCTCGAGACTATTCATAGCTGATCCGACATTCTTCACTTTCCTACCCTATCCCATCCTTTACCTTGGTTCCCTGACCGATCAAGAATCTGCCTCAGCCTTCAATACCCACAGGGACTCTGCCCCTACAGCTCTCTGTGGCAAGGAGTTCCGAAGACTCTGAGAGAAAGGCACCCCTTTATTCTGAGACTGTGCCCTCTGGTCCCAGACTCTCCCATGAGGGGAAATATCCTCTCAGCATTGACCCTGTCAAGCCCCTTAAGAATCCCGTATGTTTCAGTGAGATCCCCTCTCATTCTTCGAAGCTCCACTGAGTCCGAACCTGTTTAGTCTTTGCTCGTAAGACGCTCCTTCCATCTCGGGGATCATCCTGGTAAACCTTCTCTGAACTGCCTCCAATGACATGATATCTTTATTAAATAAGGTAAACCAAAACTGCTCAGAGTAACTCCAGATGTGGTCTCCCCAGTTGTTGCTGTACAGTTGCCGTAGACTTTCCCAACTCTTATAGTCCAACCCCCTTAAATAAGGGCCAACATTCCATGACCCTTCCTGATTCCCTGCTGCCCCCCCCCCCCCCCCC